TATGTTGTCATAAAGTTCAGTAAACAGATGATATGAAGCTGCTGCACAGAGTTTCTGGGATCAGCTGACCTGCATCCAGTTTGAACGTGATTTGCATAACTGTGGGTCGAACAGCAGGGCAAGTCCCGAAAATAAACAGTAAATAAACGGAGAAACTAAACAACACAGTTAAATCATTTTTGAAGCGAACACAGCAGCTTAAAGTATATGGACTTTGATACGAAAATCAGCCGGACATTGAGAGCAGCAGAGAGAGTTTTATGTCACGCGGGGAGTGCCAAGCTCGCTCGAAGCGCTAGATATGCCTGCCTGCCTGCCTTCCGTAACGTGAAAGCTGACTACAGTTGAAAAAAGAGCGCACGAAACACTTAATTTGTCTTAAAATACAGATATTCTGTAAAATAAGTAACTGTTTGTAACCTTACCTTAGCTTAGAAGACAGAGGGTGTCGGTCTTTTCTGCTCAGATTCAGCTATCGGTGCATGAAGCTAATGTTTACTTACAATGCTAATGCTACCCTTACTCTATGGCGCTCAAGAGGTGGAGGATCCAAATGGCTGGCTCACTGCTGCCAACTAGTGGTCAGAGGCTGAACTACAACATAAAAATGAACGGCTGACAGGAAAGTTGACATTTTAAAACTTAATTAAAAATCGATACAGGGCCTTAGAATATCGATACAGTATCGGGAAATGAAATATCGCGATATTTCAGTGTATCGATATTTTCTTACACCCCTAACTACATTCTGTATATAGTGAGGATCAAGACGGCAAAACAGCCACAAATATTGTAAAATTGCACTTTATCATTTTAAACAAAATATCCAAAAAAAAATATGGAGTCTTTAGATAAAGGCTTATTATTAGAACAGTGCATCATTGATGGTGGAAAATAGATGTTGCTCTAGATGTTTTTGTTTTGTGAAACAATGGGTGGGATCTGAACAGTAGCTATTAATGTGCTGGTTATGGTTATTTTGTATTAGAAAAAAATCTTTATTTTTTACTCTTTACTCTTGTTGCCCCATTTTGTGTTGCATGCAGTTTCTGTTCTCTTTGTTTTCCTGTGATATTTAATCACTTCCCAGCTGAGTGTTTCTCTCTGGCCTGTTTCATTAGTCTCACGTTGCTGCTGTTATGAGGCAGGAACCTGTTGACATAGCAGAGTGTGCTGTTACACAGAATACTGAGGCATTAACGGGCGCAGACGCAGCGGGCTCTCTCGTGGAGGTGTAATTATGGTGCTCCGTGGGAAGCTGCAGAGCTTTGGGACGAGTCTGGCACTCAGCCATCTGTAGGCAGGAGGGATGTTTGGACTCGGTGTGGAAAGTGTTGGGGTGCTGGACCGGTTCAGCAGAACCACACTGTGCCGTTTCTAACCTCTCAACTCTGTTATGACAGCCACATGAGAGCTTCACAATAGTTAAGAGTTTCCTGTTGTGAAAAAAAGAGGTTTACAGTTTAAATAATATGTTTTGCTTCTTATGCTGATAATTGAAGGTGTTTTTTTCTTTCTCTCTGTGTTTAAATGAGATCTCTGTATTTATGTAACGTGAATACTACATTCTGCCTCAGCTCACATTTCCTTTTATTTAGGCTCAGAAATTCCTCTTTCTCCTCTGACCAGACCCTGTCAGCATGCTGCTTTCATCAGAGTCATCTGTGTTTTGGGATATTAAAGGAAGCACAGATGATCGATCGATGTGCATTTGTGATGGGTGGGGGGTACCTAAATTTAGCATTTAGCATGGGAGGTCAGTTGACAGTGCAGCTTGTTCTGCAGTTTTATATCTATAGAGGTTTAAACACTAAATGGTGAATCAAATAAGGGGGCTTTAAAACTCTTCAAGATTATTTTATTAAATTATTCACAAATGGGAGAGAGATCATTTCCACATTTAGTGTAATTTTTAGGTATGCACGATAACTTATTTTAAGAACCGAAACTGATAACTTTCTCCTTCTAATGGTCGATAACTGATAATAACTGATAGCCGATATCATGCCAGGAGATAATACTAGTCAAAAATGGGTAAGATCATAACATAAATAAAAAAGACCAAAACCAAATGACACTGTGAATTATACTATTTGAAATACACTCTTATGCTGCGTTCACACCGAACGCGATTTCAGCTTTAAAATCGCAGCCAACGCTGAAGTTTGAAGCTCGTGCACTTTGAGGTCAGATGCAGGTCAGCTCTTGAAGCTCTGCACGGCAAGAGCCTCCCCGCCCCTCCCTCCTCTGTCGGGCTCTGTTTAATGTCGGACGAGGAAGTGGCTTTGCTTTATTTACAGAGAGCAAGAGCATGTCACGTTCATCAGATAATTAATTCATAATTAATTCACCAGATAATTCAGAGTAGAGGCTCACAGCTCGCTTTCAGGACTATTTTTCCAGTCTGATGAGTCACTGCCACGCATTGGTGCAGATATCTCTGTCAGGACACCGACTGCAGGCACTCGATTTCAGCTAAAGAGCTCCTCTCCGTCTGTTTCAGGTTAGTGGACATCATTCAGTAAACTGTCCCTTCAGGAAATATGTCGCTACGTCACACAGTGGAGTCTCTCTGATTGGTTGACGCGACGCGTCGAGCTGCAAAAGTTCAAATTTTCTAACTTCAGCGATTTGCGCCTCAGCACGTCGAACGCTCAGATCGTTCAAATCGTTCAAATCGCGCTGCTCTAATCGCGCTTGAGGCGCCGCAGCACTTCCCGACGCTGATTGAAGCGCGTCCACCATAGACTTTGCATGTAAACCTGATGCTCCTGATGCTGAAATCGCGTTCGGTGTGAACGCACCATTAGCGAACAAACATTTCTTAAAATATATCAAACAAATCAATTTCTAAAATGGCCATATTTTTAAACAAGGCACATTAATTATAAAAAATAGACCTTTAACACTGATCTCAGATTTAAACAAATATGAAAAAGAGAAAAAGTCATTCCACAAGTTTAAAACAGATAATGCACTAACACCTGTTAGATTCAAAGTTCATTTGTTTGATTATTAATAATATATCAATTAAAATGTTTTTTCTGCCTGAAACAGTGCTTATGAGATAAAAGCGCAGAAATGACAACCTGTCAATCAAAGTGTGAAGGCATTAGAGAGTTAGCAAGTAGCAAGTAACGGACATTACATGTTCTCAGATTGGGAGTAGTTGTTCTGATGTTTATAATTATGATGTTTGTGTTTAACATACAGGGTTAATTGGTAAAATAACATTAATAATTCTTAAAATGACTGGTTGATTTTCAGCACAGAGTATTCTAATTATTGTTCTAGTGAGAAGGTTGTTTTTTTCCGACACCACTTGAACTTGAGGTTGCGCAAGTTGGGCAGGACGGGGAGTGGCTTGAACAAAAAGTATAAAAATAAATAAGCACACTTACTGCTGCGCTGGTGAATGTGTACATATATTATCAGTTCTGTTTGTTATGACATCGGACCAATAAGTATGACATCATAATCTCCTGATATCGGGCCGATAGTTATTGTACACCCCTAGTAATTTTACTGTGCACTTGAAATTGAGGTAGTATTGTCATTATGCCATGAATGTGAGCCACTGAAGCATTTTGTTTGTGTCTGGTATTCTGTGTTTAATAATTGGTTGTTTTTTGAGAATTATTATGAGCAGCTATGGTGGCTTAGACTAGCATTAGCTTCAGACATTTTGCTCTTTCCTTATTGAACAAGCTGAAATAGGGTTGCACACTTTTGTGGCCAATCACAGATCTTTTAAAAGCCTGACCTACCGATTCTGATTTTGGCCCGTACAGATTTATTTTTTCATAGCTGACACTGTCAGATGTCATCTCACAATACACCTTCAATGTTCCAGTCTTATTTTACAGAAAAGCTTTGAACAGTACCCTTGAAACAATACAAACTTATTTTATCTGGATAGGCTGTGCTCACAGAGCAAAAGGGGACAGTGGCTGATTTTCAAACCTTTACGGAGGTAAACAAGATTGGTGGATAAGATCAACTTCTTACTGTATGGAAGTATTGGCCATTCATTGATCTCCCACAATTAAAGGAATCAGTGTCAATAAACTGTCTGGCTCCACTTGCTGGATTCTATTAACATGTTATGGTACAGCCTTTAAAGGTATTGGTCATTTTTAAATGGCCAGTTTAGCTACTGTTAGCATAGCCTGGACAGAGACTTTTGCTCATTTCTCCATACCTTGACCGATATCACAACTGATAATATAGTCCATCCATCCATCCATCCATTTTCTGTACACGCTTCTTCCTTTTCAGTGTTGCGTGGGTCACTGGTGCCCATATCCAGCAGTCACAGTGCGAGGGGCGGGGTACACCCTGGACAGGTCGCAAGTCCATCACAGGGCCACACATGGAGACAAACGAGACAAACAACCATTCACTCTCTCACTCACACCTAGGGACAATTTAGAGTTATCAATTAACCTAACAGTCATGTTTTTGGTCTGTGGGAGGAAGCTGGAGTACCCGGAGAGATATATAATAATGTAGATCATATAATAATACATATAATAATAAGTATATCATATAATAATATATCATATAATATATGATAATATATTAACTATGATAATATTTGGCAGAACATCACTTTCAAAATGGCCAAAATGACAACTGATTTCTTGCCCTTATTCGTTCCGGAATAATTATAAAATACATGAAAAACAGAGAATTGTAGCTGCTTTCTTAAATAAAGTTTAAAGAAAACAGAATCAGGTTTATTCTCAGTCACCATTGTCTAAAAAGATCACATAAGAAAATAATATAGAAGTTTATTTTCTAATGTCGAGCAGTTGTTAGATTTTTACAACATGTGTCATGTTGTGGAAGTGTACAGTTACCAACCAGTCAGAGCTGGTGACGTGACGGGTGAGGCTTTTTTTTTTTAACTACATGCGAGTCAGAGTCTTTCAGACTATTTTTTAAACTCACAAATCAGCCATCCATATATGATTCCCCCCCCCACCCCTTGGGGGTCCTTGAGTTGTGGGTGTGAGCTGGATCTGAACAGGCTGATCCCATCTGAAACCACAAGCATTTCTGGCAAACTTCCACACTTCTYTAATTCACTGTTTGGCAAAAACAAGAACAGCGTAAATAGAGATGACACGTAGACTTAGTGGGGTTTTTTGTGCTTTATTGTTATCAGTTTTATGGAAAAGGATGATTTTAGTTTTTAAATGGGAATTGTGTTCACAAGTCATGGAGGGATTTCTTGGATCATTTCCTTTTAAAGAGGACAACTTGCAGTCTTGTGACTGTAGTTTTAAGGTGTGTCACATCACTGGCATATTTTAGCAGCAACTTGTCAAGCAGGCGCAGAAATGTATTAGTTTCTTTATGTGCTGGCACACAGGAGTGGGGTTTCTCTAATGACACGAGGATCCAGTAACGTGTTCATTGTGTTGCCTCTTTAATTTGTTGTTACTATGTAAATGATGCAAAGTGATTGTGAGGCGGGTGTGAACTGGTGTGAGACACTCTTCACAATGAGATTAGGTGTTTAGATGCATCCTGCTGCCTGATTCCCGTGGTTCATTAATGCTCTTTGTTTTCTTAACAGCCTGACTGAGAAATGCTGTTCTGACTGCAGCAGCTTGTGCAGTAATCCACCATGCTGTGATAACATACTTTTTACAATACGTACAAAATAGATTAATTTGGTTAAAGTACACACAAGTTCAGCGGTTGTTAAACAGGTCTCGGTGTGTGCTCAGCTATGCTCCTCTAATGCCAAAGGAAAAAGCTTCTGTTAATGATTAAAGCACCATATCTGACTTTTTTTGTTTGATGTGTGTGTGGTGGCTGATAGTAGATGTGAGTTTAAAACAATGCTATGTGTGATATTTACAGTGTCAAAAACAGTTCCTAAGTTAGACCTGAGGCAGTTTAAAATCTGAGTGGTTTGAAGCAGAGCGGAGTCTCCACAAACAAGGAAAAACTACCTGCATACAACCAGCTTATCTGGTCTGACCCAGAAGGAAGAGAGAGGGAGGAAAAGACAGCGGAGCCGAGCAGCGAAGGCAGCGTGAGGCGTCAGTGATGTCAGAGGAGGCGGGGGAGGGGTTGAGGTTAAGGGGGTGTGGTCACCTCAGCTGAAACTACAACACCTATCTGACTCCCTGAGACCAGACAAGAGAGCGTATTGTTCGTGGAAGCTCTAACCCTGTGGGAAATTCACAGTCAAAGGATTCAGAATAAACCAAGAGAATTCCACTGAGGTCTGATAAGCAAGAGAAAAAAAGCCTCTGTACGGTAAGACTTGTTATTGTGTGCTCAAGTTATCTGCCCAGCTAATTAAAATGGTTTACTGCTTTAATGTTTTACTTATCTTGTGCGCTCCTGAACAGGTTTAGAGCATTTACTGTAGAGGTAATCTGTGCTGAGTTTAAATTCACCCTGATAATAAAGGTTAAAGTGATATCTTAGCATTGGTTAATGTGTGTGTGGGTGTTTGAGCTGCTCTCATACTGGGAAATATTAAAGTTCTCACCTATTGGTTGGTGTCACGTAAATTACGTGGAGTTTTTGATTTCAGTGCCTCGGTCTTATCTTTTTTTTTTAAACGAGAGCAGGGAAGGTCGTTCACTGCCAAGTACCTCAAGATGTGTTGAGCTGGCACAGCATGAGTGGAGCAGATGTTTCATTCTGACACAGGAGTTTTTGCTTCTGCCCTCCTCCTCCACAGCAGAATGAAATGAGAACCTGGCTTGCCGCCTGGCACAGACTTGCTCCCTGCAGTTGGAGCCACATTACAAGTGCTCCTGTGGTAGCTTGCGATCCGCTGACCCACTGAGTCCCATTCATTCATGGCGTCAACTGTTGTAATTTATGCTCCATAAAGATACCACAGTGGCTGAAAAACAAAACTATTACTTTAATGTGTGCCTCATTGCTTTGTTGTCTTTTTATTTCCACTCATGTGAGAGGACAGAGTATATTTGTTCAACAACCTGTGTGTGTATTCAATGACTTTTATGTTTATTTTCTGCAAACCCACTTTTCTGACAGTACTATGCTGGCTTGTGTACCTAGTTGTGTGTTAATGTRTCTTAACTTGCCCCACCTTCTTCCTGACTAACTCTATCTTTTTCACAGTTGTTTCAGTGGAAGCAGTTGGAGAATTTGTACTTTCGTGAGAAGAAATTTGCAGTAGAAGTGAACGACCCACACAGGTCAGCAGATAAACCACTTGATTTATCTAAATGGATCTTAGTTAGTACTTTCCTTGTTTGAAGTGTTCCTATTTTAGTGTGTGCCCTTGTTTCAGATGTCCTGACACTGAAGGACATCTGCAGCTGGTGGCTCATTTAAACCTCCCTGTTAATGACTTGAACCTGCCTGTTAAATGAGCGTTTTCCTGCTGTTCAAAAGCCACCTCATCATTCTGCGCTTGTTAGAGGACTTCTGCTCCTCTCACGGGTTTTGATGTGAAACTTTCAGCAACTAAAGCTGTTATTAAACCACACACTCTTTCAAGTTACTGCTTGTCGTCTTCTCAGAATTACACAAAGACCCTTGTGTTTTTTTGGGGTTTATATTTAGTAACATTTCAGCTAATCCTAAAAGATGATCCTCGTTTTATTAGAAAAAAGATTTTTAACAGCAAGTGAAGAGATTCATTTCTTGGATCTGCTCTGAGTGTCTGTTTTTATTATCTACAGGAGAACGGTGACCAAGCGAACGTTTGGACAGGCCGGTTTGGTTATTCACTCATGGTATGCCAGCCACTCTCTGATTAAAACTATCTGGGCAATGGCCATAAGTCAACACCAGTTCTACCTGGACATGAAGCAAAGCAAAGTGAGTCTTTCTGTTTTTCTCCTGATTCATTTTCATTTCTTCACACTACCTGCCAACTCTACTCTTCCCAAATGTACACCTACATTAAAGTACACCTTGTGACACATGTAGAGTGTTTACATGCTCTCTGATAACCTGCATAGGTGAGACTCTTATATCAGTCACAGGCCTGCATGTGTGTGTGGYTTACACAATGTGAACGCTTTGGTTTGGTCGTCAGTTTCAGTGTCCTAATTAGGATTTCTTCACAAGTCTGTTTGTGTTTGTGACGCAGGTTGTGCATGGCAGCAAACAAAAATAGGCTCATTTGTGGTTTTATAAGCAATGTGATGGATTTATCAGAACTCCCACAGATGTTTAGGGCCTTGGAAATATTAGGGCAGTCGCTTTAAAAGGATAAATATTTATGCAATCACATATTTTATAAATGTAAAACTTGAAGTAAAAACAATGGAAAGACAGGCTACACACCAAGATTTAAGGTAAAAAGTAAAAGGTCCTTTAATAAAAGAATGGACCAGCCATTAAATGAGTTGCCTACCGGCTCGGTGACTTAACGCACCTTCAACAGGGCAAATATCATATGAAACATATAAAACTTGAAGTGTTGGGAAAAGAAAGCATAAATGTTTTTAGTACTGCCACAGAGAAAAATAAAGAAACGGTATATATGTGCGAGTTATAAATCATTGTGTTGCCCTGAAGGTAACACTTTCATGTCATGTGTATGTACCTCTGATGAGATGTTGCTGAACATTAGTCCTGTTAACCGTTAGAAGCTGTGTGTGATGGGAATTTTGAAGTGGAGGAAGGATGAGTGTGTGAAGCTCAAGTCAAGAGATTTTTTAGCCACTGTTATTATTATTATTCAYAGGCTGATTTTGAGTCGTGTTGATCCAGGAGCAGAACCCACACTGATTAGAGTCACACATTTAGAGTACCAAACATGCAAATGTAAAAACATTTCCGTAGCGCACAGTTATTTAAATGAAATCTTCACAATTCATTCGTCAATAGAGATTTTCACAAGTCCCAATGTTTTATGAGTATTTTACCTTTTCTGCAGTCAAACATGAGCAAGACCAGGAGCTCAGGAGACATCGCTGTGGACCTCACAGAAATCAATGCCCAACGGATCAATAAACTCTCAAATATTGAGAGCAAAGATCCAATAATAATGGCCAGTAATGGAAGCCTCATCTCCACAGGTAATCTGAGTTAATCACTCAACTGCTGCTGTTCCATATCAGATGGATGAGTGATGAATTACGGTGACAGCTTGTAATTAATCAGCTGTGTGCTCGTTCCAGGTTCTGCTGATTCTGAAGTAATTGAGGAACAGAGGAAAGAAAAGATTGCTGAACTAAAACAGAAGGAAAAGGACCTTCAGAGCAAACTGGAGCAGAAACTCGAAGAGCTGAAGACTATCTGCATGAGGGAAGCTGTAAGTATCTCTGACTTGTTTTGTGTTTCTAGATGTTTTCAGGCTCCTGGTTTCCAAACTGACTGCAGGTTGTTATTGTTTATGTGCAGGAGCTGACAGGCGAACTGCCTAAAGAGTATCCTCTGGCTGCAGGGGAGAAAGCTCCTCCTGTCCGACGTCGTGTTGGGACAGCGTTCAAGCTGGATGATCTCTTTCCTTATGATGAGGTTGGTGTAGATATTTAGTAATGGTCTTGTTGTCCTTTATTTCTGATATAGGGATTTAACGTGGACTCAAATGTCATAATGATTTTTAGCTTTGAATACACTCAGGAATATGAGTTAGCTATCACTTTGAAACGTAATATGTGTTGAGATAAAATCCTTGTTGTGTCTGTTACCTGGGGCTGGGGATATTTGAAGTCAGGTTCTTTGTTCCGAGGAGCGCCCTAAAAAGATGTGTGTGGAAATTCCCCACTGACTGTGTGGGTGTTGTGTGTTTCCCTCAAGGACCCACATCTTAGAAATCTGGAGAGCAGGTTCGCCTTGCAGGTGAAGATTGTAGAAGCAGCCTTGAAGCTAGTCAGCGAGTCTGACCTTAAAAGAACAGTGAAGAAGAAGAGGAAAACCAACTACCTGGATGCTATGGGGAAACTGGAGCAGATAGAGAAAGAGATAAATGATTATAGAATCACAAAAGGCAGAAAACCCTCTCAGAGAGCCTCGCTGATCTTAGCAGGTACAGTGAACACTGTTTGCATGTCAGAGCTTGTTGAACGTGCAGTCATGTGTCAGTTCTAAGATTTTTTTTCTTTTTTAATCTCAGATGATGCCCACATCTCAGACCTCAGCTCTCTCTCTGACAGTCTTACACTGGATGATGGTAGGTGTGCTCCATGTGCACGTTTTTGACCCCGCGTTCCTTTATCAATCCATTTGACCCGATTTGTTTTTGTCTTCCAGATGATGAACTTGGTTCTCAGAGGCAGCGGTCACGATCAGTCCAGTATTCCCCACGACCACACCACGCAGAGACTCTGGACATTTACTGCAACAAAGACAGACGAGCCTCTGCCAACGACCAGCTTTCAGACACCAGGTATACAGCGAACACCCACACATGCAGTGTACTGATGTTCATAACTCCCAGTGTGTCTGTCTAACACAGAGGCTCAGACTTGTTGCTTTAAGTTGTTGGTCACCAGCATTTAAAACCATCAGACATAATTAGTGTAGTCATCGTCTTTATTAAAAAAATCACACATATTTACGAGCACAAAAAATGTGAAAACAGCTGAACTGATCAAAGCAAACTAATCTGATCCATCAGATATGAGTCATACAACTTAAAAACACAGCTGTTGTGCTTTGTGTGAAGATACCTTTCCTCTCGTTGCTTTGATAGCCTGAAGCATGGAGCTAGTACAGACCTGCAGAGGAGATCCAGAGCTGCATTCCTAACAGTCCCCTCCTCCATCTTCTGCTTCCCCAACAACCTCTCCCTTATCAGTTAAACTCACTGACTTTCAAAAATAGACAGAAAGACGTGTTGCGGCCTGTGGAAGAGCAGACGACGGCTCCTGAGATGAGACAAGAGAGGAAGAGGGAAACAGGAAAATTGTGTCGGAAATGTAGTGAGAACAGCAGCTGCTGCCTGGATGTTTACACAACAGTGCAGGTGGTGTGTTACTCCAGCTACAAAGATGAGAAATTATTTGACCCACGATGCTTACTGTTGTGTGACAATAAGAATCTGTTTATTATGTAATGAGTCTCTTGTGTAAGGAATGACTTTTTCTCCATTGATTAATCAAAGCAATCAGGGTTCCTGCAGATCCGTAAAAAATCTTAAAAGGCATTGAATTCATCAATCCAAAAATAAGGCCTTAATTAGCTTTAAAATGTATTTAAAATGTAAACACAATGTAAATAGGATGATTGTAATTCATCTCAAATATTAAAATAATTGGTAAAAATTTTTTTTTTTAAATATTCACATGCAGACATTCCTCTTTGAAATCACTTCCTGTTACTTCACATGCAAATATCTCAACTGTCCATCTGAGCAATGTGAAATTATTTTTGTAAAATGTTAATGTTGTCTTTCCAAAAATGCATTCACTTTTCTTACAAAAACTTGATGTCACAGGCACTTTAAGGTAGGGATACACGATATATCGGTATTGATATCGGTATCGGTCCAATATGTAAAACTGGACCGATATTAATGTCCGATATTGATTTCACACTTTTTYTCTTTGTGTTTCTGTTTTGGGAGGGGAGCTGGTTGGTTGAGCGTCATCTGTTTGATCATAATAGTGATATTGATGCTGTGTAACCAGGAATAACTGAAGTAYAGCCATGTCAGAGGTCTGGTTGTTTATTTATGGTATCAAAAAAAGACCCAAGTGTGTTTGTGTGCATATGTATAATATAATTTGTGTGTTTGTGTAATATCGGTAAGTATCGGTTATCGGCCATAACGGCAATAATTATATCGGATATCGATATRGGCTGAAATTTTCATATCGGTGCATCCCTACTTTAAGGTTTCATCRACAGCAAATTGGGGTTAAGACCCCGCTGTGGGTCCTAAAACTCCAAATTTTGGGTTGTTAGAAGATTTCCTGAAATTAAATAAAGTTTAAAACMGACTGCTAAGAATGTTTCTGCTATAGTTAGATATGGATAAAAACAACTGGTCTATTAGCAATATTTGAATACTTCAACCAAAAATACTTTGATTCATGAGTTTCTGCCACAGTTTTTATTTATTTTTCTGTCGTTTGTGTTTATTATGAAATTGGTCTTAAATTTAACTTCACTTGGCATTAAAAAGTCTTAAATTGAACTTGCTTTAAACTGTAGGAACCCTGGCTAGGCTTTGGACTAAAGAGGTGAACGTCCTGAAAGCAAAGCTCTTCTCTGTGTTTCAGATTCATTTCTGACCAAATCCAGGAGTCGTTCCACTGCAGTTACACTGAGACCTTATCAGCCTACAACAGCCCACTGAAACCGGCTTCCAGACAGCCACGTGACGCCCGCAGCATGCCCCCCACTCCCCTCCTCACCCGCAACGCCTACAGCAGCACACAGCTCAGGTCAGACCTCAGAGATTAACTGTATGTATTCTGTTACAAACAGCTCTCGCACCGAGTCCACACAGGTTCATTCTGGTTTCGTTTGCAGATCAGAGGACTCTCCACAACATTACCGTCAGCGGAGCGGGAGCCTGGAGTCCCAGTCTCAGCTCCCGATAGAAACCAGAGAGCCCCCACCGACGTTCGTGGTGTCCCCCGCCCGACGCAGCAACAGCACCGATGTCCTTGACGACGGCTCCTCCTACACGAGCCAGTCCAGCGTGGAGTACAGCGCTCCGGGCAACCACACCCACCGGCACAGAACCCGTGGCCGCCACAGGAGAGACATGTACGCCAACACGGGCAGCATGCCCAACCTGGCTCAGTCGGACACCCGCTGCTACGCCTACCAGCCTCAGGCGCGGCCCACCACCACAGCCTATTACATCACAGGCTATCCTAACTACGTGGAGCCGGAGCCACACCCCAGCAGAGCCTATGTGTATGAAAGTGAGATGGAAGGACACTACAACGTCAACCCTTCCTACAACCACACACATGCAGCTTACCACAGCCACGACATGCACGCCCAGTACGGCTCTGACCAGATGGACGGTTTTTCATACAACCCATACGCCACYCTGCGACCTCCCAGGAACCATCCGCTGCCTCGTGGCAAGGACACGGACAGCAAGAATTTCCAGAGAGCCCTGGCAAATAAACACCTGTTGGACTGGTACGAGCGGAACACCACGCACAGACAGTACGACTYCGACGGGGGCTCCCAGCTCATGTCTGCACATTATCCCCACAGCAGCAGGACCGTTTCCTACACATCAGGTTAGATTATTGCATCGTTCTCCTCTGCTGCTGATGATTTTTTTTATATATATATTTGGTCATGTAGTAATCTGTCGTGTTTTTATTCCAGGGTCAGTGGCCCCGTCCAGCAGAACCTGGCATTCTGCCACCAGTGGTCGTGGTACGTCAGATTATGGCATGCCCGTGCACGAGCCACACTCCTACTCCTACAGTGCAGTCCCCTACAGCCTCTCCACCTACAGCAGGTGAGGAAAAATTAAAAAAAGAGCTTGGCCTCAGCTTTTCTTCAGATCCAATAAACCACTCCCTGATCCTCTTTATCCCCAGAGCTAAGTGTTCGAGTTTAATTACTTAAGATTGATGGCTGAACAAATGTAAAAAGCTGTTTAAATTTGTTGTCTTTAAACAATACTGTACACTAATTTATATGTGTCATCTCTTTTTATTTCTTTTACCGCTCAAATTGTAGAGTTTAACTCTCAAACAATTAGGCCTTTTCTTGCACAGCCTGGCTCAGCAGTAGGATTATAGGATGTGTGCAGGTCTTCCACAGAGCTTAAGATTACTTCTGCTCCATAACTGTCCACCGGCCCCTGCTCTCTTATAGATATGGRACCTCCCAGCTTGTAAAAGGCTCCTGGCACAGCCCTGATGGCCAGAGACGCTGTACTGTTTTCTCTGCTAGCTCTTCCTCCTCCGGTTCTTCTTCCACTTCCTCCCTGCCCTCTGCCTCACACTCCCCGGGCTGTCGAGTCAGGCAGGCGGCCTCCAGCCCTGCTGCACACACACACTTCTCCAGAGGGCACAGGCTCAGTAAAGGTAGCTCCTAGTAAGTAAAGKACCATAGCCGGAGCCTGTGCGTTTGCCTCCGTCAGCGTGTCCGCGACAGTACCTTACCATTTTGCTTGTTGATGTTTTTGGAGTGAATTTTGCATTTTTGTAATCCTTCGTTGTCTTCTATGAGAAGGTAACTGCATGGCTTGTTTCAAAATATGCCTGACCTACTCCCTCTTGTCAGGCGGCATATTTTCATCCAGTGGTCACATTTAAAACCGGTTTTGTTTGTTTGCTTTTGAATTTTTTCATCCTCTTAACACATACAGGCTGCTCCCTGCCCGTATGTTGCGTTCTGCCAGGACCTTTGCCCTCTTTCATGCACAGACGCCTCCCAGAATTTGAAAGCTGCAACWGGATGCTGTTGTTTATTATAATGACCAGGAACATAACATTTCCCAAATGATCAAACTCACAGCACACATGAATTAATGAGAGATGCAAGACAAGTGGCTACCATGGTAATGAGGACAAGTCTTTGTGTTTTGGTTTTGTTTTGATTGTAAATAAACCACATTTATAGTATTATATTGTCATTGCAAAATTAGCAATATTTATATCTCAAAGGACTGGTTGGAGTTTAATAATTGTTGACTAATTATTTGATGAGTTTTGAAGTTGTATTTTTCATGCTAATGTAATATTTAGCCAGTAGGACAGAGTCTCACTGCTGCAAAAGCTCACACCTGACACAAATTCATTGCCAAAAATGCTAAAGGTCARATAGAATAGGATGTACAGATTAGAAAGGAGGAAAGAAAAAGTATCATCATTGCAATATTTACAAGTATCATCGCCATCACAAGATTTTCTAATATCATGCACAGTGTTGTATAAAGTACCACAAAGTGATACTTGAGTAAAAGTGCAAGTATCTTACCAAGAAATTACTTTGGTAAAAGTTAAAGTCTCCTTTAGGAATATTACTTGAGTAAAAGTCTTAAAGTATCTGATAGTTTTTGTACTTAAGTATTAAAAGTAAAGCTGGGTTCCCACCAAACGCAGTTTGAGCAGCAYAAATGCGCCCACTGCCTTAAGTTGGACGCATTGAAACAAGTTTGGTGTGAACGCAGCAGCCGACAAGATGCGCGTTTGAAGAGGGAGGAGCGTCTTGGTTTTTTCTGGTCTGTCTTTAATGACGGGTGAAATAAACATAAAATAAAGAAATTGGCTTTGATTTATTTACTAAAGAGCAAGTGAACGGTGGTGCGCACAGCAGATAATTAATTCACTAGATGATTTAGAGGCGCTTTGTTCTGTTAGTTTCGCCACTCTGGGAGCTGTGAGCTGACGGACTTATTTATTTATTTATTTTGTCCCGAGCTCAGCGAGCTGCTGACCCACATCGGTGCTGAAATCTCCAACCAGAACACCAAATGCAGACGGTCGATTTCAGCTAAAGAGCTACTGTTCATCTGTGTCGGGTTCAGGAAATCGTCACATGGAAAAATTATTCTCTCTGATTGGTTGCTGCTGTGCATCAAGCAGCCAAAAGTTCAATTTGTTGAACTCGAGCAGTCGCTGCTTTGGACGTGCCGCATCCTACCGCTACCTTGTGCGCTGCTCTAAACTGCCAAAATGCGCCGCAACACACGCTGCGCTGCTCCTAGATGCACGTCCACCATAGACTTTGCATGTAAACTGGTTGCTGCGGCTGCTCAAAACACGTCCGGTGTGAACCCGGCTTATAAGAACTGATTTAAAATGAGCAGTTAGATTTTCTGTAATGACATTTATTAGGAGGTGACCTCCCCAAAAAATGCAGAAATGGCTGTCGTATTAAAATAACTGATTTTAAATTTAGGATGCACTAGTCTAGCTGTTTCACTTTATATACATATATCAAAGCTGCACAAACCTTTTCTCCAAAATGAAAATCTATCTGAGGGCTGCAACCAAATGCAYTAATATAATTCATTAAATATGAATACTTCTTAAGTACAGTCCTTTTATTTTTAATGATTATGTCCTTCTGGAGTGTGACATGATTTGTTTGTGTACAAACTAATACGGTATCAGAATTTTATATATTTATACTTCTCATTCAACCACAATTAAATTCACTCTGTCTGGGAGGCACAATTTATATGGAGAGTATTTATATTTTATAATAGCAAGCTGGAATGAAAACAAGCAAAATGAAATAAAAGTCACAACTTTCTATTGCTTGTCTTTTTTAAAAATGTAAGAAGTAAAATGTACAGATAATWGTGTGAAAATGTAAGAATAAGAAGGAAAAAATAGACTAAAAAATAATTACTCAAGTACAGATACCCAGAAGTTCTACTTAAGTACAATAAAGTTTTTGTACTTAGTTACTTTAGAACTCTGACCATGCAGCCCTAATTTATAGCTTTTACATTATAACACACACACACACATACACACACACACACACACACACACACACACACACACACACACTGGTGGGAAGAACTGGGATAAAACTGCTAAACTTGCTTTTATTCTTATTTTTTTGCAGGGCAACAACTGTTCAATCTTTATGTATCATTGACGAACAGAAGGCAAAAAACTCACCTTAAATCTGCTTTTAAGTTCTCTGTAAGGTTTTTAGTGTAGAAGCTTGTGTGTTGCAAAAGGAAAATGTGACCTCTGAGCATTATGCATTTGAAATATTTAAAGCTGCATGTGTGTAATATCAGCCTGCATCTTTTCTTGTCTGATAAGTGGGAATATTTAACCCTGCAGCTGAAACGTCAGTGTTAGCATGCCTGAAACACAGGTGTTAACATGCACAGGTGCTTTTGTACTTTTTGGGTTTTGTCCTAATGCAAGCATGTGGCCTAATGTTTGTCAATCTGGTTTGTTTGTTACAGATCCTACGTAGACGTAAAGCACATCAGCAACCAAATGCACAGCAGTGTGGATCCAGAGGAGCACATTTGCTGGCACGAAGGCTCCAAACCAGGAACTATTGTTTAGTCGCTGCATTGTGGGAATTTTTCACTCGGACAAGCTCTCATTGTGCCTTAAACTGCACTTACCTGTTTTTGTATAAAGAAGCTGGAAAGAATGATGGAACTTGTTTTTGGAATTCAGCGTGTAAACAAATGAAGTGCTCTTGTTTTCAGTTCCCTCGACCGCGGTTCTCCAAACCGATGGAACTCCTGGATTTTTAGTGCGTTTTGTGGAGCCGCCCCCCGTGCACCGAAACCAAACCGAGCCCCGCGGTGGACTGTGGCACGGCTGAGAGAATCCAAACCAAACTGTGACAGTGTTCTTGAGATGAGACTGAGAGAGAGTCTCTGGGATGGGAAACGGAGCGTCAGTGAACAACACAGTGTTTTCTGAACACTGCAACCATGAAGGATTAATAGAAACATAAACATGAAGGATTGAGCTGAGTACAAAATGATTTTCTTTGAACATTCTGCAGTAACTACATCCAGTTTTTCACATTTGTTGCTTTTTCCTTTTACTAAGTATTCCGTCTGTCAGTACACACAAGAATCGAGCCAAATACTTATTTGTTGCACCATCTGAGTATTACCACACGTCACCAGTCTGATGTTACTGCCACTGCTGTTCTGTGTTTGTTAGAACCCAGTTATTTGATCCATGCTGGAAATCATGGGCTGGTGCTCGTCGTTTCTCTACAGAWTGAACCCGTTCCTAAGTGTTGCTGTTGTAAATACACTGGTTCTGTTCCCTTTTTGTAGAGCATTTTTTTATGTTTTTAAAAAAAACATGTAATATATAGTGATCAATAATTGTTAAGCTGGTTCTTAGTAATTTGTATAATTGCATTTGTTTGGATTAAAAAAACATTTGAATCAGTGGTTGTTCAGTGATATTCTTCACAGCTCTTTAAAACATTTAGAACACGAAGGATCTGTTAGAGTTTAAAATCTTGTTTACATTTTAATCAGGTCAAAGTGGTCATATAAATTCGTAGTCCTCTTCTTAATGGGTTGAAAACGTCACAGATGCTAGCAGGCCAACAGAAGTATCTCCAGAAGAGAAACTGTAAATGAGATGATGTGAACCCTGCAGATCTCTGGAGCTCAGCTGTTTTCTGTCTGCAGTTCTGTTGTCAGGCTGGTTTTGGTGCGTTCCTGTGCTGTAAACCAACCAAACCAGTATTTAAYGGCCGGCACACCCTCTCTGAAACCTCTGCTGTCACCCGTGTGAACGACAAAGATCCAGTTTATAGCACCAAACCCTCCCTGTTGGCTGAGTCTGCTGTACACATGTCGTCCATGCCCCCCACCCTCAATTTATTGTGCTAGAGACCTTTACACCCCCCCCCCTCCAAACCCTCCCTTCCTTCCTTCCTCACACATTTTTTTCTGCCACGGAGCAGATTTTCTCTCAGTGCCCCTCAGTGTTCTGCTCAAGGGAGGTCCTGAACACCTTCATGTTGCCTTCTTCATTTGAAGGCAGCGAGTGAGGGGGGGTTCATCCAGTTGTCACCCCCCACCCATGTCTGCTGCTTCACACCAGCTGCAGCCAGACGACAGGGGAGGCTCTTCCAGCTGACACTCGACCACAAAAACAAAGAAGCCCCTCTGTCCTGAGCCTGAACACAGCACAGAGAGCCGTAGCGTGGAAGGCAGACCAGGGCTTGGCTGCGACCGCAGTCGTTTGTGTTCACACAGAAARGTCTCCATCATACAAAGACTTGGAACTGGCATCAAATGACAGCGGCGGATTCAGTTTCTATTGTTTATCAGAGATGAGCAGCCCGCTCTCGAGGGAACAAGTTCACATCGTATAAGTTTAGGTGTCCTGCAACAATAGTTTCAGTTAGCCTTTTAACTACTAGCTGTACTGTGTGTGTAAAATACTACTAGATGTTTCCTCACAAAWGTGTAAAAGAGCAGATATTGCTCCTGAGCTAATGCTGAAAACCCTAAAATGAACTAAAAACGTTTGACAGAAATGTTGGTGATATTTTGGTCATAAAGTGTGGTTCTGCGTAAAGGTTATGAATAGTTAATGTCTCACCTGTTGCAGATAGCTTTTGAATAGCCAGAGTTCAGTAGAGTTTAGGTCTGGTGTCTTAAAGCTGCGCCCATAAAGGTGTCCTTGAGTGCCATGAAAGGCGCCTTCAAATAAAATGCATTATTATTATTATTATTATTATTGTTGTTATCATTATTATTATTTCTAAATTTTCATAACATTTTATGCAAACATTTTTAAATAGACTTTTAAACAACAAAGAAAATGACGCTTGTTTAGATAGAATCCTGTGTTTATTTGTCAATACCAGTGGTGGGCAGCACTAATCTAAAATTTGTTGCACTAACCCTAAAACACTAACTTTAAAGGGCCAATATTAGGTGTTTCTCAGGCATATATTTAAATACTATACCATAATAAAGTATCTATGTCACCTTTAGTTGTTACTAAAAAGCAGTTTTTATGTTTAAATAGAAAATAAACTTATCTTCTCATCACTTCCACTTCTAAACGCCTTGAAATTGGCCTCTGTCACTTTAAGAACCACCTTCCACTTCTGTCCTGCCCATTTCAGTGCGGTTCGCACACATGCYCTGTGATGCAGTTTACTTGGCATCTGAAAATACATTTCCTCAAAGGTATTTTGAARCTGAAAAGAGCTTCACTGAGTGAGAAGTAGTGTTAAGAGCAGCAGACAGTTTAAGTTTCAGTTTCACACGTTGTTTGCTTTGTTGCTGCTGCGAGCCTGCTGGAGTCATGGGCGGGGTGTGGGGTGTGGTGWGATGTGCTCCGTGATGATGAAGCTCAGTGTGGAGACAGCCCAGAGGCGGAGCTGGTCCCAAAAGGAGGTTCTAGTCCCAACCTGTCATTTCTGCTCCCCTGCCTGGCTGCCTCAGGACCCTACAGGATTTCTCAAACATATGTCAAAGCAAGACTCTGGACATGTTTTTGATGAGAGGATAACATTATATGATATAAAACTCAAAAAAGTTGATTTTACATGATATGGCCCCTTTAATGTTTAGGTCCCCTAATTCTAAAGCACTAACATTAATATTTAGGTCCCCTAATTCTAAAGCACTAACACACTTAAAAATTTAGCAAAACTAATTCTAAAGCACTAAAATCCCAGCTGATCCATGGAACTTTCCTCAGAATCAACATGAGAGAATATTTTCTGTGTGCAGAATAATGTTAATATTTCATCTGGTATAGTTGTTCCCAAAGTTGGGGTCGGGATTTCTTTGTGGGTCATAAAACATCAAGTGAGGGTCCCCAGATGATTTCCTTGACATCAATTTAAACGCAAAATACTGCTAATGGAATATTTTCATCGTGATTATTGGAATTTTTTTAAATAATCATAAATGAATAAAAATTACTATCATAGTTACTATATTTGTTTATAGTTATTTCCATGTTTAGCAGAGTTATTAGCAAAGTTTGCTATGTAAACAAGTAATATCTGGGGTCATGAGTGTCTGCAACTGTTATTTTGTGGGTCGGAAGCAAAAAAGTTTGAAAACCACTGATCTATAGTGGATAAGTGACACATATGACCAACATGTCTGACAGCTTTCATCCTCAGTTGTTGACAATAATATTGATCAAAAATATTTAAATAACTCAATTAGTGCTTATAAATTTAGCAAGTGCTAATCCACTAATGAATTAAGAAATTGGCAAAAGCTCTAAAGCACTAATCAGGAAATTAATTCCCCTATTAGTGCTTTAGGGGAACTGTGCCCACCACTGGTCAGTACAAATACAGGGTGTATCAGAAAAAAAATGATACTCTCAGAAATATCGCTATAAAATTAACATAGATAAAAAAAATTTAAAATATGGGTGTAACCTTAGAGGGGATCATTCTGCTTTGATTGACACCAAAATCTTAGTTAACGCTTCACGCTCCAGTGAGCAGGGACAGTTGGAAATTCATCAAATTCATGTCCTCTTGCGCWAGGAAATGTGAGGGTTAAAATATGATCTGTCACATAAAATTAAAAGTTTAGATGGTGTTTTACATGCATGCTGAGGTGTTTTTAAAATAATTAACCCTTTCATGTCCTAACGTCGAAACAAAAATATCTAATTTTTGAGTGGATCAAAACATGTGAAGTGGCCGTGGACAAGTCAATCCAGCCAACTAACATTACATGTAATGTACATTTATTCAGTGGGTATTACATGTAATTATTCCATAACCTGGTATAAGATCATGTGATTGCGTGGTCATTTTCTTTCATTAAAACAACATGATCACAAACATCACCTTATCTTATGCAGACAATTGCATAATTCCTGGACATAAAACCTGTCAACAGCTGTGCAGTTGTCTCTCTTCCTGCCTTAGCCTGTGGTGTAAAATGGCCTGACCACAGTTCACCACTCAGCAGAGGTCTTTCCTGGTTACTGAATACCTCCAAATGAAAAGTGTTCACACTGTCCTTGAGCGGTTCCAACAAGAGTTTCCAAATGTTAGGGTTCTCATGCTTCTCCAGCAGGTTGCTCTTTGAAGTGGGTTCTGACTGCTTCAGTGTTGGCCGGACCTCCTCTTGTTGAGATAGTGGCTGGTCCCAGAAGCACAGTACTTGTTAACGTTCTGGAAAACAATGAGACGGCTCGGAAAAATTGTTGCAATTGTCTGCATAAGATAAGGTGATGTTTGTAATCATGTTGTTTTAATGAAAGAAAATGACCACACAATCACATGATCTTGTACTAGGTTATGGAATAATTGTAATACCCACTGAATACTTGTACATGTACAGTACGTTACATGTAATGTCAGTTGGCTGGACTGACTTGTCCCTGTATAAGTAGCCAGATGTAGCACTTGCAGCCTAGCAATAATTTCCCATTATTTCTGCAGAAATACTCGTGCAATCCGAAGTTGATGGAAATGCTAAAGTTGAGAAAATGGCGTTTGAGTGGTTCCGGTGGTTTTTGTTGTCTCACAAACACCACAGACTTTAAAGTTTCACAATGATACAGCTGCTGTTTAAACTTTTATATTGCCTTCAATTATTTCTCAGTACACAGCTGGTTCAGCAGAAATATTWAAAAAGTCCTGTTGGATGTGACCCCAGGCTGCTCTGGATGTGTTACTCCCTGCTGCTGCTACTGCAGCTATTTGCATTTGCAAAGCACCAAATTTTATGAAACTAGCAATATAATGCAAAATTTACAGGGTTGTAAAACGTCCGTAAGTTACTATGAAGCTTTGGAGATTGGAGTCATTTCAGATCAGCAGCAATCCATTTCAGCCTTGGCTGTGTTTGGATTAGCTTTCCCTCCCTGGTCTTTTCAGAATAAAAGCGTATCTCTTCAAACTGYGATTGTTCAAATAGCTATTTTGTTTGTTCACAACCTTTACACAGAAGTCCACATTTAAATGGCCAAATATCAGTTTTGTTTAAAGGCGAGCTAAAATTTACTGTCTGTAAAAAAGGGGAAGTCCTTGTTTAAAGGATCTTTAGTTTATCAACTGGTAAAAATATGTTTTTGTATAACTTTGTGTGTGTATGTGTTAGCAAAATATCTCATGAACCACAAAACTATCTATCTATCTATCTATCTATCTATCTATCTATCTATCTATCTATCTATCTATCTATCTA